TTTTTTTTTTTTTAGTCAGAGAGAGACAGAGAAAGTCTGAGACAAGATGAATAGGGAATGTGAATGCGTAATGTGAGTGCGAGACTGAGAGAGTGCGAGAACTGGAAAATAAAAAAAAAAAGAGACAAGTAGAGAATGAATGTGGAGGAGAGATTGGCAAAAAATACGAGAGAAAGAGAGAAAGAAAAGAGCGACTCGAACCGGCGGCAAAGTGAGACGAAAGGAAAAGAGTGAGAGAAAGAGGGGAAAAGAAAAGACAAAAGAAAAATCGGGAGAGAGAGAGAGAACGTAAAACGAGGCAAGTAGCAAGATCAAGGTGTTGAACGATTATTAAGTCTCTTATTATTTTTTAATTTTTTTTTGTTTCTTCTCTTATTGTGTCTCGCCTTTTCCGTTCTGTTTTTTTTTCTTTTTTTTTTTCTTCTTTTCTTTGCTGTCTCAGATCTCTCTATTTTCGAAACAAGCAAGCTCGTACTGTCAAACTTTTCGCCTTTTTGTAGAGCTCTACTACCATTCCACTACTGTCTACTACTCACTGGCACCTTTCTTCACTATTATCAAGAGGCTCTCGTGTGGGGGATCGATACCGTGTGTGCGATTTACTACTTACTCGCAACCTGTTTATACCTGAACTCCTCCGACCGCCTCTGCCACCCGAACACTCGAACTCTACCTCGAATCCGGGGTCGAGCGGACGGCGCTACACAAGCCTTCGGCGTGGTGTTAGCCGCTGGGATATCTGAGAGCCGCAAGTTACGTAATAAATCGATTCTCCTCCCAGGCTTCCTTTTTTCTTCACCGCTTAGAACGTGAAACCGCCTCTTGTTACATCGTTTTTAAAGCCCGAGTTCTCGGAGGCACGCGAAAGTCACGATCACCACTTGCTCTCATTGTTATTAAACGTTATGCTGTTGTCATTATATTATTCTTATCGATTGTCGCTCCGTTCCTTTTTCTTTTTCTCTCTCTCTCTCTCTCTCTTTCTCTTTCTCTCTCTCTCGTTGTCTCATTATCATTTTCCTTTGTTGTTATTACTATTATTATTTTTTATTATTATTATTACTATTGCCGTTATCGCTGTCGTTGCTGTTGACTCTGCCCCTCCCCCTCCCCCTCACTGTGTGCATAGTGTCTGTTGCCAAGCTTCGTTTGCGCGACTGCATAAAACGCGGGAGACCCGCGTGACCCGCATACGCATAACAATGGCCCGTTTAAAGTTTCCCCGCGAGCGCTCGATGCAACCTTAGGCTTTGGGGGATGCACGATCCACACGTTCCTCCCTTTCGATCTCTTTCGCGAGTCGTTCGGTTTTATCGCGATCATCGCGATCGTCACCTTTTTTGCAAATGCTTGGTGGAATGGCAATGCGCGCGCATTAAAGGCAAGATAAGAGCGGAATAAGAGCCTCTCACAGCTATCTATCTTACAGCATGCCTGCAGTTTCCTGCTTCGCACAGCGAGAAAAAAAAAAAATTTACAACTCTATCTTTCGAAGAAACTGCAATCTATATGATGTCGCGATAAAGCGCCGAAAAGCACACACACCTTTCGACGGGCGATTTGAAACACTCGCTCAAAAGTTCACGTCCTGCAACGCTTTCCGTTGAATTAGTTGCCGCGACCTCTCGAGAGCAGAGACGGAGATCATGCATCCCATTTCGCGCGCTGTGCAACAAATGCAAAGTGAGCCCGCCGCCGAGCGAAGCGTGAAAAGCCATTCAACGGCAACTTTTCGTCGCCCCCCGAAAGTTGACGGCGCAAAAAGTCGGGAATAATAAACGGCTAAATTGAGATAAATAGCGCGGCTAAATCAGACCGGATGGATTACAACCGAAGAAAAATGTCCGCGCGCGTGAGTCGCGATAAATCATTGGTTGTTGGCTCGCGTTAATGGCGTTATAAAAACTGATGTGCGCGGTGAATAAAAACTGATCGAAACCGCACGCACTCTCTCGTTCGTCGCGCGGCGTGCTTCCTCTTCTCTCCTTCGTGAAAAATCGGGCGGGGGAAAAATAGTTTGCGAAACTTTTCACGCTCCTCCGTCGCGGGCGGAATGGAACTTTACGACTCACGAAGACACGATTCCCTGCACGTTTGTCGAACCGCAGCACGACGATTGTCGCGTAAGTCGCTTGTTCTTGTCGCGGCACCTTGCGTATTTCTCGTTACTTTTGTGTGCATCTTCGCAGCACGCGCATCTCTCGCGCCCATCGTTTTTATTAGCGTGAAATAAATTTTGTCCCATCTTGGTGTTTGTATATTCAGCCACTGCTGCGCGATAGATACACATTTGCGACACAGCTCGACTCGCTCGCTCGGCGGGAAAACGAGGGAGAAAGGCGACTTGGCTTTGACAGATTTGTCGCGCGTGTTTTGCATTTTTTCTCTCTTTCGAAACGTGAACACATTCGTTTTATTCTCGAAAAACGGGAAGATTGCTTGCTGTTAAATGCTCCGCAATATTTAATGAAAGTGTGCCAGTTATCGTTACGCGAATATAAATTTACGTCATATCCGACATATTTGTTTGCAATTCTTATATTTATCTTACACTTACGTGTGATGCGAAAATATGCGAAGCCACTAATATACTCTGACATGGCAAATTGAATGCGCCGGGCAAAGATATGTATATAATTCTTTTTCCGCGCAATTTTTAAGCAACTTCGCGGAGACTTTTTCATACTGAAAATGCTGAAAGGTACGATATGAATCACGTGTCTGGTACGCGAATGTAAATTCGTCCTTCGTTTCCCGTGCGCGCGTTTCGCTCGGTGTATCAAGCGCGCGCGTAGGATTAAAATTATTCTTTTTAAAAACACTGTCTATATATGTATATGTGTGCGTGTGTGTGTGTACTTTTCCCCTGTCTTTTCAAAAGACGAGCACTGTTTCATTTCACATGCAGGAAGCGTAAAAAGAGCGCAACTGAAAAAGAGCAGAGCCGTAGTCGCGTTAGCCGGGCGCTTCGTAGAATTTTTAGCGAGAATGCCACGTGGTGAAAATTTACTGTTGACAGTACTATAAGTCATGGATATCCCACGCATGCACCTTTCTCTAATTGTGATGTTTCTCTTTTCATTTTTCAGAGCGAGGCATAAGCGCCGAAGCGGATGCATTTCCGATGCGAGTTATACGTTTACCGCAGTTACCGACCAAACAAGCGAAAAGCAGAGATAGCAAATAAACGTTACCGTAATCAAGCACTACTTCCTCATTTACGCCCGTTTTACTAATAACATTGATACTGGAGAGAGCCGAGGAGCGCGCGCTCGGAGATGCGATTTCGCGCGCGTAATCGCGCGAAAATGCGAGGAGAGGGGAAAAAAAAAAAAAAAAACACAGAAGAACCGAATGTCCCGTCCCTTCATTCGTTCTCACCTGAGATTTCTCCCTTTCGCCAACACTCCGAGCTTAACGATTAATCTGTGGACGATTAACGACATTCCGATCGACGTGTCCCTTTGATTTTCACGTCGCGACGGAGCATTTAATCTTGTTAAGGAATTCTTGTACAACTTGCAGAATCAAAAGCATCATTTTAAACGATGACGAAAATTTTGTAATTTCTTTCTCCCGGCCTCGCCGTTTCTTGATGTACTTGAATTTCATCAGCGTTACAAAGTTATAAAATTGTATATCACTAACTTTGTTACATTTTATCAGAAATATATATATAAATATACACTGAAAGCATGATACCGAGATACGAAATATCGCCAAAAAAAAAAAAATACTGTTCGAATTGTGTCTTTACAGCTTTCTCTCATCCTCAGCAGATTTCATTTTGTGTAATTGCCATTCTCGAATTGATCGAATCTTTTTGTGCGACAGAAAACGAAACTTCCGCGAAGAGAAAACATCGAGCTTTAGAATAAGTCTACTTATTGAAATAAACAACTCTGTTATTTGAAATTAATGGCTTCGAATTGATTCTTGCGCCGTAAGAAATTCACTGATTGACGGATCGACTGTTCCGCTGTTGCGTTATTACGAGCATTATGTCGTTTTCGCGGGGTGTTCAGGACTGCGTTTCAGTAGGCTGTTAACGTAATATGGATGTTCCGTAATGCAAATGGTACCCAAACACGAATTCGTCATTTAGCGACGTTAGCGACGTGCGCAAATTACGTGTGAAAATTGGATGAAAAACAATCTCGAGAGTAGAATAAACCAAGTTCCATAGTAAAAATAGGTAAGTCTCTGTCATTGTTTCCGGTAGGCTGCGCGTTCTTACAACAGTAATATCATCGCAGGTATCCAACGTACCGAGCTAATTAGCAAAGTAAAAACTCGTCGCCTGCGGCCCTAAGAGATTAATCGATTTCCAGACGATTTCTTGCGCGAGTGCAGCCTGTCGCGGCAAAAATTCCGTCTCTCCCGATTAAACGCCTCGGCGAAATCAATTCTTATCCGCGTTTCCGTCGCCTTATTCGCGCGACTGGAGAATGTCGTATAATTCTTTCGCCATTCGAGCGAATTAATCGCCACTCGACACGCCGATCGAACTGCTCGTTCGACTTGAAGAAATGAATCGGTCGGCGAACAGCTCGAAGACGTTGCGCAACGATGAAATTTATGGAGAAGCTGAAATTTGCCTATCGAGCGAGTGATTTATAGGCGTACCGATGCTAACGCACACTCAATTGCTTTACTTTCATTCCTTTGTTTTGCAATTCCGTTTTCGTAAATTTGTTATTTCACACCGCAAGCAAGATAACATCGAAAAAAGAATAAAACGAAAATTTCACAATGCTTTATTTTAGGTTCTCCAAATGCATGCGATTCTTCTGTGCAAGCTGGATATCTATGATGCTGCAATATTATTTGTATTATTCCCCCGAGCACTGTGTTGTATTAATGTAACATTTATTTTTCCATAAATCGCTGCATACGCGCCAGAAAGGAGACCATTCGACACTGACCGAACGATTTTGCGGCATAGAATCAGCTTTTTTTCAGTCCGCTCAATTATCTAATGGAATTCGCTGACGTTATCTTCAATTTAATTTAACGCGTGCAAATAAATGCACGCCTTCGGTAAATTGTAATTTTGCAATTTTAGTTAGATCTTTTTCTGCGACGCGCGTTTAATCGCGGATGCTTACGTATGAACATTTTCTTCCCGACACGCTATTCGTTTTACATTTTACACGCGCTTAATAAATAGTTCTCTCGGATATCGTTCTGTTTTACACGACAACGGATTGCATCATCAATGTTTGTGGATTTCTACACAATCCAATTTGTATGAAACTCTTCCCTTAACTGAATTATCGGTAACGAAGGGATTACGAAGCAAACGTATTGTTGAGTAACGCTTATATATTTTCCTTTTACGTTACTTGACATCATTTTGCATTTTTCATCGATAATAAGCGCGTTATCTCCACATGCGTTTGATAAATTTTCTCGAATCCTTGTACGGATTCCTTAATCAGTACCGTTCTGTTTTACACGACAACGGGAAACATCATCAATGTATTGATAAGTATATATCCGCCCTAGAAAACCGCTTGCGCGCACGCACTAAGCTTCGAATTCAGTGCGAAACCTCGATGACGCAAGTGTATGAAGAATTCGCGGATTGCCGATCCCCATCGCGATCCTCACATATTTGTTTGCGTTCGCATTTACTGACATTTTCAAAATTCCCCGTTTAAGTTTTGGATGTGTGGCGCGCTTGCCGCGGAATTAATTCGACACAGATCAACATTTGCGGAAATGCATATACATGAGATTTGATTAACATATTAATGCAGTTCGAATGCATACGAACGAAATTACGCTATTTCAACATCAATTACGGTCGCGGCAATTAAAGCTGCACGTCGATGTGTCACCGCGGCCAGATGTGTGCGTAAATCTTTATCGGGGAAATTGAGTGTGGGATGTAGATTGAATTTGCAGCTTACGCCAGTTTAAAACCGGAGATATGATTTGCTAATTCTTAGGCTAACAACTCGACTACTCATTCAGACAATCGCGATTATAATTCGCTTACAACAGCGATCTGATTCGAAGAAATTTAGGCTGTAGTTTTCTTTAGATACACGTAAATTAGTTCTGTCGAGCGTAAAATTTAATGCAAAATAGTAAAACTGTAATTATCGACTTTTTTACTAATTGTCTAACTTTGATTATGTTTTGCTCGTTTTCCGCGCCGCTTGCCATTATGCAACAGAAGGTGACACCGAAGATTAAGCGGAGCAAAAGTTTCCCCAATGAGAGCGAGACGAGCGATCGCGTGGCCGAGCTTGAAGACTTACTTTCTTCGAGATCAGGTACATTTTCTCAAGTCAATAAATTTTATAAGACGCGAAATATTTTAAGACGCCAAGTAATCGCATTTTTATTTCATAAGACTGCTATTTGGTGTCGTAATACACGGAATGCGGCAAAAATTTTGGTACAAAAAGTAAAATTTCACACGCGGACTCGTCAATAACAAGTAAATTTAATCGCACAATATTAGATTTAATTTGATCGTACAATTGTAACGCAATTGGCAAGTTTAATTAATTTCTAGCTTATAATGTTGCAATAAGTTTGTATAATTTTTAGATCGCGTCTGATGTCTCGCATTCAATAACGAATACGAGTACATTGCGGTTTCAGATATTGTCGGTTGCCATTTGCTGAAACGAGGATGTGTCGCGCCTTATTTCGCGAGACACTATCGTAATTTCTCTACGAGCTTCCTTTATTCTTCTGACAGAAGCGATATTTTCTCTTATACACCAAGATATATCGCAACGTGGTAATTTGCTATTTCCATTCAAGTCCGATGTACGAAAACCATTAATTCTGATCTTGCGATTAGATGAACTTCCTTTACAAGTACAAAAGCGCACTGCGCTTTAACACATTGCGCTGCAACATGCGATATCCTTTCACGCAATTTGAACTTCATTTATTTGGACTTATCAATGATTCATCGATAATCAGAAAGTTTATTATATCAAAGATTAATCGGACGACTTACTATTTTGAATTTCCAAGTAGCTTGATAAAAAAAGAGTATGACAAGTGTTTAAGGATTTAACAGTATTATTTGTTTAATATTTTAGTAATACAGTAATTAATGGCAAATTATAAATATTATTTAATTACAGACGCACGTATGTTATAAAAAATTCCGAGTATATTTCACATAAAATTCTATAAATTGTAAAAATTTAATGTCTACAGTGAGAAAAATGTTCTGTTTGATTCAATAAATCTGTCTATCAATGCGACAAGATTCCGGTGGATTCAAGCAGCATCTGTCGAAAATAAAACAGACGGTTTGTTGAATCAAGCCGAACATTTTTCTCAGTGCGCGTTAAAAGATTTCGTTAATTTCAAGCCACAAATAAACTCTTTCAAGAATCTATATTAATGCAATCGTTCACAAAGAAGATTTCTCGCAACTCACAGGCCTGACCGAGGCGTCGACGAACAAGCCGGAGATCGATGAAGACGAGGAGGAGGAGGGCGAGGACCACTGGAAGGACGCTTCCCCGATAACGCCGATCTGCAGTCCGGCGCGGCGACCGCCGAAATTCCATCATCGGGACAAACAATCGCCGACCAGGTACGTCGACGTGGACAACGACGTCGAGATCATTCACGAATTCTATCCGACCACGTCGAAGACGATGCTCGAGGAAACGAGCATCGTGTCGTACGGCGGCACGATAATCGTGGAGACGACGAGAATACCGAGGCACACGAAGGACGCGGCGGCGAGGACGGAGAAGGCGACGCCGAAGGTGAAGTTAAAGAAGCAATCGTCGCTGGAGCAGGAACGCGCGCCGCCCGTCGAGGAGGAGCCGTCCACCGGCGTGCGGGAGGAAGCGTCCAAGGTCGCGGACCAAGAGCGCGCGAAGAGCCTGAAGCGCCACAGCAGCGCGGAATCCGAAGGACGAACGTCCACGTCGAGGGACACGCTGGAGAAGTCGGACACGTCGTCGGAGAAGGGCGCGAAGAAGAAGGTGTTCGCGGAGAAGGAAGACGGCAAGAGACGATCGAAGAGGTCATCGGGAAGGAGATCATCCGTGAAGGCCGAGCGACGGGCGGAGGAGGACCCGTCGAGGCGGAAAGCACCGGAAGACGAGGAGCCGTCCAGGCGGAAGGACGACGAGACGTACCGGCGCTCGCGCGAGGAGAGGAAGAGCCTGAAGGAGCAGGAGTGTATCGAGAGAGTGACGGAGTTCCTGACCAGGCACAGCGCCTCGTTGTACCCGGAAATGAGCGCGGGCCTCGAAGCGGCGGAGCCGTCCGAGATGGCGGACGAGCAGTCCGAGCAGCGCGCTAAACGTCCGTCGATCGGCAAGGAGGAAGAGATCGCGGGCCCGTCAGCAACGCCCGACACGTCCGTCGCGCCCGCGAGGAGAAGAGAGAGCCTGAAGAGCGTGCCCGAGGTGGCGGAAGAAACGAGGGACTCGCCGGGCGACTCGAAAGTGGCCGCGAAGGACGCCCGGAAGCCGCCCGAGAGTAGGAAACGGCCAACGTTGGAACGAGCGCCGGCAGCCGTTTCAGACGTTCAGCAATTCGAAGCGACGGTTCAAGAGCCGCCGAAGCGACCCAGCTCGTTGAGGAAAAGGAGGGACTCCTTCTCGCGAGAGTCCTCGAGGGAATCGCTGCTGGAAGAGAAGAAGGGCGTCAGGATACAAGAGGACGTTCAGGAGATTTTCTTCGAGGATACGAGCGAGCAGGTGAGTGGGTCGTTCGTCTTTCTTTAACCCGTTCACCGCCAGCCGAGATTATCGTCTGGAAATTTCTCTCATACACGATGATGTGCAGTGATGAAAATACAAGCGGGGGCCACGATAACTATTTATACGAAAACACGTTTTTTACAAGGCTTTGTTTTTTTGAGGGAAATAATTTTAAAAATTGAGAAGTCTTTGTACTTTTCTAAACTGGGATCTTCAACGATCTTGCACGATGCGCTGCGACTTTCAATTTGTGATTCGTAAGTGAAATCGGATAGAATTTTTTGTATTCTGTTAAAAGCGTCGATATTGTTTTATAAACACACTCTTCGATTATTTAGGTGAAATTTAAGATTAAAGTAATAACAAAATTATTTACATCTCGGGAAATAAAACTGAGCTAAAATGTTATACTTTTTTATCCATCTATAAAAATATTTATAGTCTCCGTCAAAGTATAAGTTCGGTGATGTACGATGCAAGATCGTGGAAGCATTCAAGCATAAATGATAGATGTCGTTAATTTTCCAATGTTCAATGTTTTTGATAACATTTCGTAAGAAAAAATATTATTTTGTATCTGTTTACTTATTTTTGTGCGAGGGATGATCCTGTTCGGATCATAAGCTTTATCGCATCCTATGTAGAAGTTTTCTTATTTCTTTATTGGATTTTCGCGTCCCTCAGAAAATACAGATCCCTACTCTTCGTGTTTGTTTTTATTCAAGACTGCGAGTCTTCGCAAGAAAGATGGATTCAAGGTTGCGAAGAATAATTTTCACGCGATTGGGCGTTCCATCGTTCGACGATGGATTTGACGAGAGTTTTCGTAATTACGATGTGTTGCGCAGGTGACCGATCTGTTGCCGGAAGTCCAGCTGGTGACGGCCAGGATCATCACGGCGGAGGAAGCGTCCGCGGTCCGCTTCGAAGAGGCGATTGCCAGAATCGCGATCCACTCGCCGCCGGAAGTGGTCGCCGGCCCGGAGACGGTTAGGGCGAAACTGATGCGGGCGCCGTCGCCGGAAGTCGTCGACGTCACCTCGCTGCAGTTGCCCGCCTTGGCGAAATCGACCTCCGACAGCACTCTGTCGGAGGATAAGCCGTGCTCCGCCGAAGACCGCAGGGTCTCTGTGAGAAACTTGAAGCCGGAGATTCTTCTGGATCTGTCAAAGGTCTCCGATAACGGCGGCGAGGTCGGGGAAGAGACGGTGGAGGGCGAAGTCAAGGAGCGGCGGCTTAGTAGAACCGGAAGCGAGGGCTCGAAGAGACTGAGCAAGGGCCAGAAGCAGGAACAATTTCCTTTCAAAGTCGGAAGTCTCGCGCAGCCGGATAAACCGGAGCTCACGGTCCTTCATGAAGGTTTAACGGAGAGAGCGGGGAGTGTCGGGGATGTTTCGTGGAGGTCAGCGGCGGAAGACACGAAGCAGGACGACAGCGTAATTTACAGGTAAGACTCTCCATTCGCAGTATTTCGAATAAAGTAATGATACATAAGATAATTGAAAAGGTAAAACAATTACATTTTCCATATTTATCTTTATCTAACATCAACTCTGATATTTTTCTTGTACAAGGACTCGCTTAAAATTCATTTCGGAAGCAAATAATACACAAGCGACGAACGAAAGATTACGCTGCGAGCTAATAATAATGTGAAAAATTAATTAATTTTACTTCGCATACGCGCTCCACTCTTTATTATCGAGAAAAATAGCGCGTTATATTACAAGAAAATCTCTCGTCCCATTATTATTAAAAAACATTACGGCTGAGAAAGGATTACGACGATGACTTCGGCGGAGATCGATCAATCCCTCCCGCGCGGCGCGGCAAACAATTTTGTTTGCAGTATCGCAAATGCGGTCTGTCGATCGAGTTATAAGTTCGAGCGACGCCGTCGCTCGGGGGCTTCGAATGTCGATTTACAAACAATATTGTTTGCCACCGTAAGTTTGTCGGTCCCGATTAGGGTTGGATTACACGCATGGCCATAGAAACCCCGGAGTGCTCGTACAATTTACCGGAAATCTAGGTCACCGTTAATACCGCTGGAAATACTTGGCGTCCCGAAAATTCTACGCAGTCTTAAGCCCCGTTTGAAAAATTCATCGGTATAATCTTTCACGGCTCTCGGTGTGCGTCGGTGTGCACGCGAAGGGAGGGGAGGAAAACTCGGGAAAATTATTACGCCAAGTTCGTGCCGAGTGACGAAGAATCGCGACTTTTTCACGCGGTCTTCGAAAGATGTATGCAAAATAGGCGTGGAATCTCGATTATGCAAATATAAGTTTCGAATTTAGATCTCGTTAAAACTTTAAATTTCGAAATGTTTCAAAATTCGCTGAGAAAACGCAAGCTGCTTCAGATTCTATAAACAAATTGTGCGTTGCGTTTTATTATATTTTCTATTATTACAGTTTTTGCAGTTAATTTACTTGTAAGCTTCGCTTTGTCATTTTCGCTCAACGGTGGCCGCTTTTTAATTAATTTAATAAATGTAACTTACAACGATAGCGGTACGAGAAGATAAAAGGGTGTCTCTTTAATTCTCCGTCTCCGTTTTTCTTTTGCGCACTCTGAAAACTTTTTCGCCGCCATTTACATTTACGGCGCTGCGAACTTCTTGGAAGATTGTGAGAGTTGCACCCACGCAAGAAAGCACTTACTGCAGAGTGCTATTTTTTTATGGGGCGCTCGGATTCACGTTCGTAATTCACGCGGCACATACGACATTACATTCCAAAGTGTGTGTGTGTGTGTGTGTGTGTGTGTGTGTGTGTTGCGATATTTGTTTTTGTTTTTTATTTAAAAGTGTTTGCTTTTATCGCAAACGAGTAGATTTAATATACTATTTTATACGCAGCGGAGATTTTTGTGCACTGTAATTACTTTCCAATATTAATTAATTTAAAATATTGCTATTATTGAGCAAAAAAAGGTAGAACAATTGTGAAAAATTAACAGAGATGCAGCGAATAATGGTATAAAATGTAGCTTTACCGATGCGTCCGTTGTGTGATATTAATCGACACATAAAAAAATTGCTATTGAATTATTTTTCACCGCGATTAAAAGGAGAGAAAAGAATATTTTTATTTATTGCAATATTTATAGTCGTACCACCGCATGTTGGAAAAATAAGCGCGCGCGCTTAAGTAACCGATAATAAACTGCGAAATAGTGGAAAGAAATCGATAGAGAGTCAGTCCTTGCCGGGGATGCAGACGAGGATAAACACGATACGCTCGGATGGAAGCGGACAGCCAATCCCGGACGCGAAGCAGATACAGACGGAAATTCCGAAAGCTTAACGCGGACTGACAGCGATGTTGGGATGGGCGGCGGGGGGGGGGGGGGAGAGGCAAGGCACACGGCCGAACAGTTGGAAAAGGGCGCAAAGGGGCCGCAAGGCGTGACGCAATAGAAGCAGACGCTCGTAATCGGCCGAAGTATGGGCGCGCGAAGCAGTGGGACGCGCGGCGGGCCAGAAACGCAGCCGGAGCGCGGGATTGATATCGCGACGCGAACGAGAAAGACGGACGGTGACGATTGTGTGACGTAACTGCTGGCGGAGAATAGCGCGGGGAGATGAACGTAGCGAGGACGAGCTCGATAGGCGGGAGAAAACCGAGACGCGGATGCGGCGACGGACGGAGAGCGACGACAATAACGCGACAAGACCGGTAAAGTGGAAAAAGACGGCGAAAACAGCCGGCGGGACAAACACGGCGCGCAACGTGACACAGGAGGAGAGATAAAAGCGTCGTTGTACAAAGCGGAGAGAAGAAACGAGCCGGGGTTGCGCGAAGACGGGAAGGCAGAGATAAAGAGCGCTGAAAAGATGTGCGGAATTGCCGGTGGCTATAAAGAGATAAGACTAGAGGAGCCGAAGAAGCGGAGAGGAAGCCGGGAGAGCGCGCGGGCGGGGCGGAACTCGAGCAGTTAAAAAAGAGGACATGGTGCGGCGGAATGGCCGCTCGTGCATAGAGGAAGATAGATAAACAGCGATGAGGGGAGGAAAAGGAAAAAAAAAATAGAAGAGCGGAAAAAGAAGCGAGTCGAAGCGCGAACGAGAATATTGCAAAATATACAGCGAGAGAGAGATACGTATGTATGAACAGAATCGCGGCGCGACGGAAAAAAAGCCACTGGTTTTAAATCGCTCTGTTTTTAACCGGCGAACGGACGGAAGGGATTTTTCGAACAATTTCACGCGCATTTCACCTCGGTAGAATTCCACCTCCAAGTCCGACTCTGTTAAGACGCGTAAAACGCCGAGGGCTCGGAGACCGCGGGAAAAAATGTAACGCTGAAGCTTTGAGCCGAGAGAAGTATTGTGTCATTCAATTTTCGACGTAGAACATCGCAAATATTGAAGCCGGTCTATTTAGCATGAATACATGAATACATGAATATAAATAAATGAACGTATAAATATACAAAATGTTAAAAAAATGGACCGATAGAATCGCGAGGGAATGTAAAGAATGTTTAAGCAGACACGTCTTGCGATATCTCTTTCGTGTACGCGCATTGAGGAAGATAATTTGCGAGAAAAATAGCTCGCGCTTTTGTAATAATATATATTTAAATATACGCCGCGTTCTCGCGCATCCGCATCGGCGTACGCGAACACGCTTTATTTCTCATTAACAGACGACTAGCGCCGGCTACGTGACATCATTTTCGCTGGTCAATTAATCATCTCTATCGTAAAACACTGTAATTACACTTCTGGCAATAATCGTTGCGCTGCGCGTCCAACATTTACAGGCCGTTTCAAAACCCGCCAACAACCTTTCGACAACGGTTTCTCCGACGTTGAAAAAAGTCTGGCTGCGTTTAAAGTGAATTTTTCTTGGGTAAAAATATCGACGCACAGCTTCTTCTCAGTTGACGGATTGAAAAAGTTGATGGATTTAAAAAGAAGCGTGCTTTTTGCACGCTGTGCTTTAGCCAAGCTAGAGGCGAATAAAAAATAGAGCCACGTTCTTAGTCTTCTTAATTTCACGGGCTTTGGTGAAATTTCAATTTGGAGTTTAGCTACAAAGATATATGGCGTTGAAAATTGAAAAAAAAACACTTGCGGATAATTGATGGTCTCTCGCGACACTTTTGCCGAAGAAAAATCGACTGCAAATTGACGGAAGAAGCCTTTGTCATTAGAAGGGCATATTCGCGCGAACTCTGCATAACAATTTGGATTAATTGATATTCGCACGCTTATTCGGGAATACTTTCGGTGCCAATTCGATTATATCGATCTTCGAGGAATCCCGCGCCGCTCGACAATAGAGCTTCGCCCGTCGCTTATCGAAAATTGGCTCGACCGATACGGGCCGCGCGGATTACTTCCTCGACTCAACTACGTTGCGCTCGTGCGCGCCCGCAAATCCGCGCACGCGAATCCGTACAGGCGTGTGCATGCACGCTCGCGCAAACATATGTACATCTTTCAATTTCGCGCAACCTCCACAATCGCAGTCTCACGTGAACTTTCAAGCCAACTATGTACTATGCGCATTCCTGTGTGTGTCGTACGACGCCATTCGTACACATTCACGTCTCTCACGAGCTGCTCTGCACACGCACGGCGCACGTACACACTTGTGATGCCTCCGAGGCTCCAACACGCCTGCACGCGCATACATATTCTCATACGCTACACACGTTCATCGCTTCTATATAATTAAGTATACCGTCTTTACAGGCATGGACAGATATGAGCTACGCACGGGGTGTCCCGAAAGATGCGAAACAATAATGTAATATTTATTCACGAAAGTGATCAACTTTTTTCTCATCAAAACTGAAATTGAAGTTTTTCACAAAGTTACTTCGCATCGCGGATTAAAGAGGATTCATTTCAACTGAGAATTTCACTTTGATGAAATTTTTATCAAGCATTAATTAATTACCAAAATGTCGCAGCGGCGCTGCGAAAAGAACCGGGCGATAATCGGTGAAATATTTTCAAGCAAGGTCTTCTTTAATTCTCAACGAGTTACCGCACTCCACTTTCGCAAAATCGATATTTTCTCGCGCCTCATAAAACTTTCGTTCCGCAAACTATTTGCAAGATTGATTTTTTCCGCCGCATTGATTCCTTGAATGTTTCATTTAATTAATGATCGTCAGAACTTTATGATAAGCGGGCCGTATTTCGGAATTTGAATTCGATAGACCTCGTTGCCGTATTGCATAAGACACTTCCGAGACACCTGGTATAGAAGTCACACATACGCGCCAAGTTCTCGCCGTGCGTACTCGATAGTCGGCGGCTATGACGCCACACATGCACCTCCCTGGCTCGCCGCGGAAGACGAGCGCGCACGCCTTCCGCGTGGAACGCTCCTCACGAGTCGCCTCGCGGCCTCCGGCAGTCTGCGTGCGTCCACGCTCCACAACGTTATCGGCGCGTTTGCGCGCTCTCGCGCTCGCTCGCGCGCGCGCGTGTGTGTGTGTGTGTGTGTGCGCGTGTGCATGTGTGTGCACTCGCGCGGGAGTGTTATTTATTAGATCAGAGGAAGCCAGAATTTGCAGTGACGCACGGCGGTGCCGCAGGTTGTCGGAGACACGGCAGTGCACACCTTGGCTTCCGCCGCGTAACGTGACAGGAGCTGTCCGCCGAGACCAGACGGGACCGGAAACGCGCGACAACGTCGTCGTCTCGCTCTTGGATAACGGAAGCTGGAGTACGGTCGCGTAAGCTTATTCGCCGCGCGATCCGCGAGCGAGTTGTCTCGCAGCTGAAGGCTTTTCCCGGACGATGAAACGTTCGGGAAAACGCTCGGCGTAATTGGCGCGATCTTAAAGAGTCGCCGCGGATTTGTAAATGCATAGCAGTGCGCTGCGCGGTGTAGATTCCCCCCCGCGGTTTCGCCGCGAGTCCCGTAGATAAAGTTGCCCCGGCGTTTATTCAAATCAGGAATGTTGAAATATGTCTCATTACCCTCTCGAGTTTCGTTTGCTTTGCAAAGTTGAAGTAATAAATACATCCGCACAATTTAATATAGACTGAATAATCTGCATGGCTAAGACTTCTTACGTATTATACAATGAATAGAATTTTAAACGAGCGCTTGCTGTAACGAGAAAAACATCAGAGTTGATCCGATAATTTAAATTTAAAATAACTATTAAATGTGTTAAATGTAAGCTATATTTAATTATGTATAAATAAATTACATTTAATTATATATAAATAATCTACTCGGTAAAGTTTGTTATAAACACATTTGCATAATTCACCGTACATTAAACGTACAATTAATATCTATTAAAGCTGACGCAATTAATAAAATCAATACGTCAGAAATTAGATTTTAAATCTCTATTGCGAAAAAAGGATGCTTTGCGCTTCAAAATTTTTCCTCGTTATTAAATATGCGTTAACCAACTGATGAATGTTGGCATGTTCGGTACGATTTTGTGTAAATAATAAATTTATAAAGCAATCGCGGAGGTCCGTGGGAATTTTCACATGTTTCCCGTGCGGATATCATAACCGTTCGAATGGGGGGAAATTTTCCGCTAAAGGCAAGCACAGTGGTAGGTCTGTCACGTTTTCTACCGCGCGGGATTTATACCGTTCACGTGTATACATATATCGAAAATGTGCGCACGTTCCGCATCGAGAATATCGCTGCCACACGCGACCAATAAGCCTATCTGTATTATCCGCCGTTATCCAATCCTCATTTCAATTGCGCGCTACGAGAGATATCGCATTAAAAGATACTTTATCGTGACGTAAAATTCTCCCGTTTGAATTTATCCGTTCTTTATCTGACAAAGGAAAGAATCGAACAAAAACGGAAATTTTCGAATCCGAAATGTGAATTTATTCGTTAATTATATTGTATTAAGTCTTTTAAGTCTTCAAGCATATTTTTAAGCATAGCGCTGTATTGATTCAAGAGCGATCTAACTTCAGCTTTAATTACACATAAGCGATTTTCAATGTGTTTTCGTACATGTCGCAATTTTAGCTCTTTATATGTGTATATAATTATTTTCTTAATTCCTTAAAATTATTCGTATCCGTCAGAAAAACATTGAAGTGATTTTCAAACCACAAACCTCGATAAAAAGTTTTCAATTTTTATCATTTGCAATCAAAAATAATATATACACGTACACTTTATAATAATAAATAAAATTGTCGCAAGTATGTTACTTCAATGTCTCGCGCGCAATTTTTGACAATTTTGACAATGAAAGAAATTGGCATGCAACAAAGTTACACAAATCGTCGTATTAGCATATTATTTATTTAAATCACATTTTTGCCGAGCGGCAGCATAAAAAACCGGTAGGTTGTGAAGAATATTAACGACGAGATTATTTTAATTCTTGTTCTCGCATCGCCGAGGCATAACGCTCTCAGAATAAATCGATCGCTTCTAATTTATAAGTGCCGAGTGTGTGCGACAACACCGAGCGCGACTTTGGCGTTTTTTTTGTTTTTTTTATATATATATATAACACGGCTCGTCCGTAACGAGCGGATCGTCGCAATTAAGAAAAGCATCGTGCGCAAAATCCCCAAAGGTTCATTTATCGCCGCGATAGCTTCGCGTCGGCCAATTTTCCACCGCGCCGTTGCACGCTCGACGCGAAGCCGTCGACTAATCGCGCGTTCACGGGCGTCCGCACTGACTCTTGATTTTTCTCCTTTCTCAAGCTTTCCAATTCGACGCGAGTCCAGGGAATCCATCCACGTTCTAAAGGACCTCGCGATCCCGCCGAACGAATTCGGCGAGCGCGTGACTCCGGCGCGCGATCTTCGAGGCGAGGAATTAAAGGAGGACGCGAGGGAGATTGAAGATTATGGACAGACCGCCTCTACGCGGGCGAAGCTATCGTTGGAAGGCGTGATCTGCAAACACGAGGACGACAATCTGATCTGCAAGGAGCACGCTTTGGAATATCAGAGCCAGACGCTCGAGAGCCAGTCGGAGCAGCGGTATCGCGAGGCGATCGCCTTGTCGCTCGAAGACCTACTGACGACGAGACCCGCGCGGGAGATCGTCCGATCGAAAAGCTGGAGCCGCGACGTCTGCGAGGAGCGCCTCGACAGCGAGAAGGAATACTCGACGCAGTACTCGCAGTACTCGCCGAAGGAGAAGCGCGACGTGCAAACGCAGACGGTTCACGAGTCGAAGAGCACGCAGTGCAGCCCGGAGCAGAGCGTGAGCCCCGGCGACGAGGAGCCGCCCAGCATCAGCCCGTTCCACATCGGCCGGAAGTACTTCCAGAGCCCGCGGCGGGAAGTGCAGACGCAGACGCAGGGCGAGAGCAAGAGTGTCCAGTGCTCGCTCGACGATCTCGGCGATCTCGACTTCACGTTCTCGGAGTCCGAGCAGCAGGAGTCGAAGAGCGTGCAGTGCATCCCGGAGGACATCTCCGCGCGATCCTCGTCCGACCGATCGAGGTCCTCGTCGCGCGAGGACACCCTGCGCAGTCCGCGGCGCGAGGTCGAGGTGCAGACTTATCAGGAATCGAAGGCAATCCAGTGCAGCGACGACGAGCTGCTCGACGAGGCCGACCGCGCGGTGGTGCATCAGAGCAGGCCGGCCAGCTCGACGTCCAGGAAGACCGGAAGCGCGCCCTCGTCAGCCTCGAGCTCGCCGCGCAAGTATCCGACGGTGGTCTTCGTGGAGGGCAGGGGGGACATGACCGTCACGCACAGGGAGCACGATGGTGACGTCACCTGGTCGAAGCACTGGGGCCCCGAGAGACTGGTGGAGATTTACAGAGAGCCCAAGACCAGCCTAGGACTCAGCATCGTCGGCGGAAAGGTACGCTTTTCATATCTTTTTTTTTCTTTCGCGATCAAGCGACTTGACCGGAACGAAATTGCCGCAATCATTATTAGCGGATCTCGAGATTATTGTATTATTTTCGCGATGACAGTGTTTCGCGTCTTGTGTCTTTGCACGTTCGGTGTTTGAGTCGCGACAAAATCCGGCCGTTCTCCAAAAGTTCGGGAATCAATTGGCCAATGAATTAATAATGAATTTCTAGAGTAAGGAGAGTATAAATCTATCGTTGTGAAGTGGAATATTGAACATTCTCCGGCTGCATTAATAACGATTTAGCAATTTCGAATTCTTCCACCAGATTAATCCTGCGTTACACTCGCATGATTTATAGAATCGCATTACTATTTGCGCTCGAGTATTTCGATTTCCGATTTACGGCGAGCGAATATCGCACACACGTGCGGCCGCGAAAGGTATTAAAAGACACCACTTATCTCTATAAATTCCCCTATTTTCGATCAATGCGGACGATTCTGAATTATTAGTCGGTTTTCTCGCACATGCGGTTGCCGAGTCGTCGATTTTTCATATCCCTCTTTTATTAGCACGCACGGATATAGCCGCCGAGAGAGTTCGGGTCGCCGATACGCCACGGTGCTTTATGGCCCGCCTTGAAATTCGGGCAACGTTACGACAGCCATTGAAACATTCGGACAGAGTCGGCGAAGTAGGTCGGGCCAGACGGACGTTGGTAAACAGATGAATCTGTTTCGCACCGGGCGATCCACAACTCGATAATACGGTCCGATAATTAATGTCGGGCTTTAACAAGTAGTAATACCGACGCGCACACGTCCATATCGGACTCCGGGGGTTTAATGAAATTTGATTTCGCGAATAAATCCGTCGTGACACGGTTAAAAAGCTTTTTAATTGATTGATGAACAGGCGTGTATCGGAAATGTAGACAAATGGAATTTGATCAATTAATCCTTTATCGATGTACATTAAGTACAACGCTAATGCTGTTCCGCCGTTGCACATCGCGACATCGGTTTAAATACGTTGAGAGAATATTCTAGAGCGCGAAAAACTGTTTCTAAAAAACTAACAATTAAAAAACTATTACACACGTTCTCAAATTTTGCACACATTTATTCACGTTTGATCAGGTTTCATGAATCTTGATATGGCAAGATATAAGATACTTTTTTCATTTATAATTTTAAGTATAATGTTTCAACAAAAAATTATTGTTGAAAGAAAAAAAAGAATTTGTTATTTTCATATATTTAAAAAAATCTCTTACAAACTTGAGACTCTTAACGTTTGCGAAATGCAAAAAATTTATTTTTTAAATTCTAAAATAGAATATTCTTTAACTCTTATCTTGTCGGATAACTTTTTGACACAAGCGAACAAGAAAATGTAAAATCATTGGTTTAAAAATTTGATAATCCTTCTTTTGAAAACTTTCTTCAAAAATTATACACATATTTCGGGCAATTGAAATATTGTGGGTTCAGACGATGCAATTGTATATTAACTCTAATTAAACTGTATTACTCGCCACCTTTAGCTACAGATAATTAATTTCCCATGTACACATTATGTAATTCACCGATGAATAATGTAGCGGAGTCGCAGAAGAGAATTCGCTGCTAATTAAACACGGATGCATTCGGTCTTCTACTCGACGTATGCGGGCAATTGATTATCCGACGTGCACACGCTGAATCGTGATGTTAAATAATTTGTTTTAATTCGATTAGCGTCCGACTGACGCGGCGGGAAAGCGATGTGAGATTAATGAGAATAAACGATCGTGAGGGAGAGACTGAAACGAGCGACGGGGAGAATCGCGGAAATCACGCGGGGGCCTCCGCCGGCAGCGATCCGTCTCAAATGGAGAATCGCCAGTCGCCCGGCTGGTGTGCGGTCGCGGAGTTAAACGGGACCGGGGGACATTCGTCCCTGATTAAATTCAACTGCGATTAGACCGTGAATTGTCAGCTGCTGAATCGACCAATCACCGCCGTTTAGCGGTGATCTCCGCACGAGCGTGTACGAGCGACGATCGATTTCTTGTTTCAGGTCGATCTGCACAACACCGGCGCCAGCAGGAGCCAGAATATCTCCGGGATATTCATAAAGAATGTTCTGCCGAACAGTCCGGCCGGCAAGACCGGCGGTCTTAAGGTAACGCTTCCCACCAAGCGGTCCTTTATTTTCGTTTCACTGTCCACTCCGCGTTACGGATCGTTCCTTCATCCGGGCGATTGTAAAAATATAAAATGTGATAGAGCGAAAAATGTGAAATGCGATAAAGTGAGAAGTGAAACCGTAACTTTTATGAAACGTCTACGGCGGAGCTTTCTCGAAAATATGTGCTTGGACAAATTTTAATGAAATTCAAGCGCGGAGGATGAAGGCGGTCCGTAGCGATCGATAGCTCGAACCTGTAATATCAATAATGAGGCTGAAAGATAAAATGTCGAAAGGAAAGGCGAACGATCGAAGGTCGCTTTGACGTAAAAAAAGAATCGCGATATACGGATTTCGGCGCGAAATAACTGGGACTCGCGTTCACCTTTCCTTTGGCATTTCGAATTTCTAATCTCTCGCTATTATTATTGCGTTTAATGTCCTCCTTCCTTTGAATTCAAACGTCCGAGTTCGGGCGGTATTGTGAACGCATTAAGGTTCAATGGTCTGCAATTGGCATGACGTGTTACACACGCCGGCCGTGCTTAGACTTAATTCGCCCTCTTGCATACGTGCGTGCTTTCAGATTGGAGATAGAATAATTGAGGTGGACGGCGTGGACCTGCGGCACAGTACGCACGAGCGTGCAGTGGAAGTTATCCAGGCTGCCGGAAATCCTGTCCGCCTCCTCGTCCAGTCTCTGGCGCATTTGGTGAGATTTCGGCCACGGCCGAGAATATCGATGTTTCCGCTCGTCCCGTTTCCCCCTGAATATTTATCAGCCGGCTAATAACGTTACAAAAGTTTTCCCGAGCGTTTCCTTCCGTCGTCTGAGAAAAAAAAAAAACTTTTCACCTTTCCGTCGATGTTTCCACTTTTATTTAAAATATGTTGCGACAAATCGAACACGCTGGACAGCGTTGATCCTTTCCTCCGCGCGACGACGATAATTGCGATCCTTGTGAGAGAAAAAAAAAAAATAACAGTAGCCAGCGGAGAAGTGAATCTTCCCTTTAGCACACGCTTTGCTTGCCGGAGTTCCGCAAATTTGTCTTACATATCCGTTTGAGCTGCGAACCTTAATTCTAACTCACGAAAAAGCATCTACATTGTTGAGGGAAATAAATTCACGATGCGGAACTAAACCCTTTACAGTCGTTGAAATTTACGACTTCGCTTTACCCGAGCAACTTTCGTTTACACGTTTTATAGTCCGCACCTTTTCACACTCTATTTCTTTTTTTTTTTTTGCTTTAAGCAATCTATGCAAAAGTAATTTAAGATACGGCTGCACCGTCAACGAAAGTGGAAGTAATACTTCCGGTTAATCAAAGTTCACCGGAGTCTAATATAATTGACAATGATAAATGATGATAATGATAAATAGCCTTTCGCACTTGTCGGATCAGATTGTTATTCGATAATCCAGCGAACTTTGTCGAAAAGTTCGCAATTAATGTTTCATTTCGCACTTTTCAATCATGCATTATCCTTTTCTATTTAAGTTTTCGACAATAACGCACACGCGCGCGAATAGAGCCGAAATTTCGCGAATGCTCGCTTTGAATCGCCGCTGCAAACCCGCGCGCTGCCGAGTTAATTCGATTTGCACGGCGCAAAAGTTACTTTCGCAATTAACCCCCTGCGCCATCCGAACGATCGGCTCGGCGTCCACTAACCGGACGTTACCGTCGTCGCTGCAGGAGCAAAATTGAGCCGCATGATGTCGGGGGAGTAGCGGCCGCCTCCGCCGCTCGGCATCGCCAAAGCGCCGCCGATAGACGCATTACGCGAAATTGGATGCAGCGCGATGCGGGCGGGTTGGT